TCTCTCTCTCTCTCTCTCTCTCTCTCTCTCTCTCTCTCTCTCTCTCTTCCTTCTCTGCTGCTGCTATCTCCAGAGGCTGGTCTCTCTTCTCCCCTCTCTCCTTTCACATTCACTTCCCCTGATAAGAACCCCTCTACCCTAGCTCTGTCTCATGATGTCTTTCTCTCGTGTGCTACTTTTTTAAAAAAAGATAACAACACTTTGGGCTTCAGATGACAGCCCTGGTCAATCTCACATGATGGACCTTTGGACCTGGCACCGGAGTTGAGGTAACTCTTGCCTGTGGCCTTGGGCAAACCTTGCCCTCCCTGCCAGAGACTTCTCTAGGGAAGACAGAAAGCAAGTGACAGTCAGACAGAAAAGCTTCCCCGGACGGTGACAGCCATACAAATGTATGCCAGGGGGCTGGAGAGGTGGCTCAGAGGGTAAGAGCACTGGCTGCTCTTCCAGAGGTCCCAAGTTCAATTCCCAGCAACCACATGGTGGCTCACAACCACCTGCAATGAGATCTGGTGTCCTCTTCTGGCCTGCAGGCATACATGCAGGCAAGAATACTGCCTATAAAATTAAAAAAAAATAAATCTTAAAATAAAATAAAATTTAAAAAAAAGTGTGCGAGGACTAGGCTTAGGCACAAGATTAGACCCTTCAGCATTACATCACGGATTAGGGAGGGGCTCACAAGGCCCCGCCCTTCCCTGAGGAGCTGTAGGCAGTTAGTGGTTGTGTTGGAATCAGTCTCTCCGTCAGTGAGCCATTAAGTTGCCTAGTAAGTAACCCCCCATGCTTACATAGACAACCCTAATTAACTCAGTGACTCAAAAATAAATAAAAATAAAATTAAAAAACGACAGAAGAAGAGGACTAATGGAGAAGGGGGGAGCAGGAATAGGAGGGGATAAGAGAGAGTACTGAGGGTGAATATGATCACAGTTCATTTGTGTGTGTGTGAAATTGTCAAAATCTTAAGTTCAACCAAATGTCTTCTCAATAACAACACGGTTAAATAATATAATTAAAGTTATTGCTACAAAAATGAACTGTCTTAATCAACACTGGTTACGTATTATTTTCCTTTATTTATAATTTTTATTCAATTATTTTCTGGTAGTTACAGTAGTTTATGCTTCTGCTAAACTTTCTTTGGGAATACAGAAACAAGTATAAAACCAAAATTCAGAAGTAATTATAAAGAAGAGAGCCACTTCAGAATCCCATCATTCAGAGATAAATATCGCTACTATTATGGTATATTCCTTATTTTTACAATTTTACCATTCAAGGACTGTGCAGGCCAAGACCCGCTTAGCCATTGAGATCGTGTGAGATTAGGCAGCTCCAGGAGATTTGTCTATAAGCTCCTCTCCGCTCTCCTCTCCTCCATTGCCCTTCTTTAGAGACAAGGTCTTAGGTAGCCCAGATTGGCTTCAAACTCAACAAGTAGCTGGAGATGGCCTTGAACTTCTGATCTTATTCCCCAGTATGCACAGTGTATGTTCACAGCTTATCAAATAGGGCTTCAAGTGTTCTGGGTGCCGTTGTCATTTTTGTCAACGTAGCACAAACCTAAGAGTCCCTGGGAGGAAGGAAACTCAATGGAGGAACTGCTTCCACCAGATTGGCCTGCAGGCATGTCTGTGGGCGCATTTTCTTAATTACTGATCGATGTGGAAGGGACCCCGCACGGGCAGTTCCATCACTGCGTGAGTGGGCCTGGGTTGTTTAAGAATGTAGCTGAGCAAGCCACAGGAAACAAGCCAATAAACAACATCCCTCTGTGGTTTCTGCTTCAAGCTCTTGCCTTGAGTTCCTGTTTTGGTTTCTCTCTGCCCAAGTCGCTTTGGTCATGGGTTTATCCCAGAGAGCAAACTAGAACACTAGGCAATCAGCCTACCAACTGAGTCGTATCTCAGTCCTGCAGCTTCTTTATATTGTTCTATTATTTATAAAACTAAGATCTCATATGGCTTTGTAGTCTGATTTTTTTAAAGCTGCAATTCCATTGTGATCTTTTCTCTATGTTAGTAACAGTTCTTCGAGCACAGTGGTTTTGTAGTGGATTCACCGTGCAGAGTCATGTTAGCCATGGCAGTTCCGTCAGCAGCCTTCCTGTTAGTGGTGCTTGCAATGTGGGTTTCCCTAGAGGATTACCCGAGGGACACACATGATGTGATGACTTTCCCACGTGTTTGGGAACTCAGTTCTCAGAGGTGAATATGTGCCGTGTGGCCTGAAACTTAGGTTGTTCTGCAAGATGTCTGCCAGTGGGGTTCTGGCCAGCCTTAAGCACAAACAATCACATGGTTCGGACACAATTTCTAGATCCTCTTGGTCTCCTGTGCTGAGGAGGGATTCTGTGTTTGAAGTCCCGTGTCTGGGAA